ATCATTGTTAGATGACGATGATGGTGTCGGATCGGAATTTTTTGGAGGTCCACGTTTTCCTTTTGGTAGACCAATAAGCCGATTTCCATTAGTATCATCATTATTAGCAACGGATGATGATGTCGGGCCGGATGGAAGTTGATTACTATTATTATCATCATTAGATGATGATGATGGTGTCGGACCGAAATTTGTAACTTGATTACTATTATTATCATTGTTAGATGAGGATGATGATGGTGTCGGACCGGAATTTGTAACTTGATTACTATTATTATCATTGTTAGATGACGATGATGATGGTGTCGGATCGGAATTTTCTGGAGGTCCACGTTTTTCTTTTGGTAGATTAATAAGCTGATTTCTATTATTATCATCATTATTGGCAACGGATGATGATGTCGGGTCGGATGGAAGTTGATTACTATTATTATTATCATTAGATGATGATGATGATGATGGTGTCGGATCTGAATTTTGAAGCTGATTTTTGTTGTCTTTCATTTTTTCGATATAATTGTTTAATCCCTTGATTTCTTTTTCTACAGCTTCATATATCTCTATATAGTTTTGCGCCGTTTTTAATAAATCCTAAATTAATTAATTAGTATATACTTTTAGTAATATAATTATTAATAATAAATAAGCTTAATCAGAATGTTAAAATAAATATCAAAAAAAATTTTGAATTTGATCATTTTACTAAGTATATTCTGTTCAATAACCAGTATCCGAACAAGATTTTCGGATATGGGTTAATGGACAAAGATTTTTTTCACAACCAGTATCTGGCTCTTACAAAGTAACTATTTAATAATCAAATTCAAAAATATACATATCTCATTAATTTGTATACAAGTAAAAGTGGTACTCAACTCTAAATTTCTCCATATCTTCTTTTAAAACTTTTTGAAAAGTTTTGAAGACGACATCATTCAAGGTTCCTTTATCATTATCTATTTTTATGGCTTTTATGTAAAAGAAGAATCGAATAATAGCATCTAATTCTTCGTATTCGCTTAGAAATATAAGAAGTGCTTCTTGATGAACTCACTTTTATTTTTCTTAAAACTTATATTATTTTTAAAGTTCTTAGTGAACTTATTAGATTCTTTGTGAATCATTTAGCACTTTGACTAACACATAATAATATTAGAAGATTTTGTTCATTTTTTCATACTTTTTCACATGAATATAGTTATTGTTTATTGTATAGTAAAGATCTTCATCCATAAAGATTACTAATGGTAACAATATCATAATGCGAAAAGTTTACGAATAGTGCTTAGGGACAGTGCATAATCACGTGGTCTTCGAAAATCCACGCGCACGTGATCACGAAAAATGACGTTAAAAATTATTTTATTATTTGATTAGAATTAGAACTAAAAATAAGCTTATATGTAAAATTGCTTTTTCGACATTTTTATTAGTACTTCAAGCTAGATTTTGACATTCGTTTTCATATTTTTCACATTTTTATTTTCTTGTGTCAAAGGCCACGTGATTCAGCACTGTCCCGAAGCACTGTTCGTAAACTTCCCGATCATAATGGAGCAGATTTATCGTTATGGACAGATTCATCATGTGATTCAAATCTGATGTCTGACGCACAAAAATATGAAGAATTCGAAAAAAAATGTCTAATGCATTAATTAAAAGTGTCGGAGAGCTAATTTATATATAATCTTTATTCCTGCTCTAATCCTAACTCTTATCCTAACATTCTAACATGTTATTATTGATAATCTTGACGCAAGTAAAAAATGCGAAACGGATGCCTTAATCTGGCTTGGAGTACATTATTAATAGAGATCATGTTAGAATTTCTTGCGTGCAAACTTTTTTGCATGAATAAAATGTTTCATTCGGATTATAAATCCAGAGCACTGCTTAAAATATTCGGGTCTTATTCACGAATCCAGTAATTTGATTGGTGGAGAAAGGGGTACTTTAAGAAGGGGCATACTGTGAAATGGGGGTGTGCTCTACGGTAAGTAGATAATCTCGCAATACAATAGATAATTTTTAATTTATCGTTATACAATAAAAATGTCATATCTATATGGCGGCCAACAACAAACGATTAATCCACAAAATGTGGCTATGGCTGAACAAGAGCTAGAAATGGTGACGGATACTTTCCAACGGTAAATGAAAAATCACATGCGTTAAATAAATATCAATAATAACGTGTTCTTTCCTTCATAACTTGATCGTAAAAGTATTGTTGATTCCTGCTACAAAAAATGTATTCCGACACAATATCTCGATGGTGAACTGAATAAAGGTGAATCGGTGTGTATTGATCGATGTGCAGCAAAATTTTTTAAGGTGAATGAAAAGGTTGGTGCAGCTTTGGCTCAAAAATCTCAGGTACAGCAACAACAGCAGCTCCAAATGCAGCAGCAGCCGCAGAGTAATAGTAAAGGTGGATGGTTCGGATTTTGATTTGGAATTCATAATATTATTTGATAAGAAATTAATGCGAACTCGTAAAATAAAATAGTAATATTAATGAATGGCTATTATAGATTTTCATGACTTTGTATATGTTGTATATAAATCTAATATTCTAAATTTTAGTTAATAAACTAAATAAATATTATAAATTAAGATATTGTTGAAAGTTATTACAGTTTAGTATTTTGCCGAATATCTAAAAATAAATGCAAATTTTAATCTAATGTATTTGGCATCGCATATAGAAAATGAATTAAAGTAGATAATTACCGGACAATACAGAGTTAACCTTTCGAGTGCCTGATCCTTCATTATTTAGCACATTAAATCTAATAGAATCGCCCACATTAGAAGTACTAAGAGGTCGCGTTCTAACGGATCTGACTGAAGGTCCCGATCTGCCAACAGATGATGAAGATGATGCTGTTCCCCTTGCAGGTTCACCACCTTGTCGTTCCATTAAAAGATAATGCATTTGCATTCTTATTCCATGACACAAAGCTTTCAAACTTTGCATCTCCTCTTGCATCCTTAAATTTTCAGTCATGAGAGCTACATTTTGTCGCAGCTCCAACTCAGCTAGATTATCAGTTATGGTGGCGAGATCATTTTTTATTTGCTCATTCTCTGAAAAAAAAAGTCCTTGCGAAGACTCATTGTCAATAATACTGGTGGTAGGCACTCTGGGATCGGTAAAATGCGAAGGAAACATTACAGCTAGCCAATTAGATATCGTGGCAATTTGATCACGTAATGAACCTACAGTTGAATCGAGTTCTTGAATTTTAGTTCGAAGTTGAATATTCTCAGCTTCGAGACTTTCTGTACGTCTTTTATGCATTTCAAAGCAGTCTTTAAGAGACTCATATGGACATGAGGGATTATGTACCACTAATAAATCGGCATTACGACCGGTCCATGAACACCCAAATTGCGATTGTGGGCATTGAGTTGGTTTCTCTGGACATTCGTCAAGATGAGCATCATTCTCTAAGAAAGGACGAGATGTATGACAGTACTGGCACTCTACACTTCGGATTGGACATTTATCAGCGTGCCCCTTTATCAGAGAGATTGGTCTTAGGATTGAGTAAAGCTCCGAAAATTTAAAAGAATATAAAATAATATACCTCAAAAGTAGCAAATAGCATCTTTTTCTTGCACACGTCACAATAAATCATTCGAGCCTGGCAATTTGTTATGTGTGATGCCATGTCCTTTTTCAACACTAGTTCACGACACTCGCCAATGTTACATTCAAGCTTTATATACTCGCACTGCTCTCGGAGATGACTATTTATTAATTGTCTCTGACCGATGTGCGAACACCCATCTTCGTTGTTTGGGCAGTATATTAATAATTCGTTTACCATGTTTGCAATTATTTTTGCAGCGGGTTTAAGAACAGCATTTTCTGAAATGCGAGAACGGTCAACCGGGCAGTTTGGTTTAGCCTTTATAGCTTGTGTTATACAAGACCGACAAAAAGTGTGACTAGAACAAAAAGTCAAAAAATATTGGCGTAAAGATATTATGGGGTAATTAAAAGCAGAACAATAGCACGCACGATAGTTACCCGCAATTTTCTATTATAGCTGGATCGAAAAAGGGTGTTTGACAAATGCAGCAAATGAGATTTGAGTTGACATTCTCGACATAGCGATAGTTCATAAAAAGAGTATTATCAGATATCTCGGGAAGAGTTTCCATGGTGACGAACGAAGTTGCGAGTTTTACACACACACGCGACAATAATTATTATTTCTGGCGACGACACGTGAAAATATAATATAAGCTTAACTATAATTAGCACTTTTTCCTGTTATAGGTAATATAGGTTTGCTAGTGCCGGCCGGTTTTCTTGACTTGCATAACGATAAAATGATAGATTGGAGATAATAGAAAGATATAAATACAAGTTTTTTGAACGAATTATTTGTTCAAACATGCGTCGAGCAAAGGTATTCTCTGGCTCTTCACACGAAGAACTTGCGATTTCCATATGTGAAAAGCTTGGCATCGGCTCTCCTGCTCCAGTCAGTCTAAAGAAATTTTCTAATCAAGAGACTTCAGTGGAAATTGGTCAGTGTTAGGAAAAGTATTTGCTACTACGCGAAAAACTACATTGACACAATTCAATAATTTATACTGTGATCAATATAGGTTGTTCAGTCCGAAATGAAGACGTGTTTATAATTCAATCGGGCTCGACACATATTAACGATCACCTCATGGAATTGCTCATTATGATTTCAGCTTGTAAAGGTGCATCGGCAAGTCGCTTAACTGGTGAGTTTTTTATGTCATTAAAGATAATTATTAATAAACATTAAATTAATCTTTATTCATTGCGGAATACAATGATATAGCTGTTATGCCATATTTTCCATATTGCAAACAAAGTAAAAAGAAGAGGTATCGTGGGGCTATAACAGCGAAAAGTACTTATTTTTTTTTAGAATGGTCATTAGTGTCTATTCCCAGTCTACAGAAAGGCTAATTTGATTAAGGTCCTTCCTCTTTCGCGTTGTATTGATGGTGGTGAACTTTTTCAACTGATGTTGCTGTTGCTCACTTATCGTGCATCTTTATGAAATTCGTAACGGCCAAAACCAAACGTCCAGTGATTGCCAATTTGCTTACAGTCGCGGGAGTAGATCACATTATAACAATGGACCTCCATGCATCTCAAATACAAGGATTTTTTAATAAACCCGTAGATAACCTGTATGCTGAACCTACTATTGCTAAGTGGATTCAAGACACCGTTCCTGGTTATTCGAAGGGAGTGGTAGTTAGTAAAAATCCAGGTGGTGCTAAGAGGTTGGTACTATTAAGATCAAAAACCACACGTGTTTCCCTTGACTGATTGATATAATTTTCAAATTTACAGAGTGACATCTCTTGCAGATCGTCTCAAACTTGATTTTGCTCTTATTCACACCGATCGAACACGTATGCATCATCAACAACCTATTAAACCTTCTGTCATCGAGGAACATCATTCAGAAGATAATAATAGTAATAACAGTAACACGAACGAATTCCCTGACACGTATAATGTCGTATCAGCAATTATAAATAGTCGGGCGATAGATGACGAGGACGAAGAAGATGACGAGTTACATTCGCTCACGATTAGCACCTCAACATCTGTCACTGGAGAAGCAATATCTCTTGATGATATGGAATCTAGTACTATCACGTTAGTTGGTGATGTGGCCGGTCGAGTAGCATTTATAGTCGTTAGTAATTTATTTTACTTTATCGTCGAATTTTTTTGATGCATGTTGTTTACGGACATTTTATTGGCGTGAATTTTATAGGATGACATGATTGATAGAGCTGCTTCGTTCATATCAGCAGCAGATCATATATTCCACAGATGTAATGCCAAAAAAGTGTACGTGATTGCAACACATGGAATTTTGAGTGGAGACAGTATCAAGGAAATAGAAAATTGCCAGAGCATTCACCAAGTAAATAGTAAAAGAAAGCTTCTACGATTACCCGATGCACAATCTATAATAATATTAACAATTATTCTACTAGCTGGTGGTCACAAACTCATTTCCGATCTCGCTCGAAAAACGTCGCCAATCTTCCAAATTAGTAATCATCGATGTTTCCGGGACCTTGGCTGAGGCAATCCGACGAACGCATAATGGCGAAAGTATCAGTTATCTTTTTGATACACCAGTTTGAAATAACCAATTCCCAATGAGGCAATAATGAGATCAGGGAATATATGCTTTAATATATATTTACATGTACTTACCACATATAATAAAATCATTTTATATAATTATATTGCTTTTTATTTTGTGGAAATGATTTATGGAATGCAGAACAAACGAATTTTATAAAGGTATAATTCGACAGGATCTTTTGCGACACATACATGCAGAGTTGATAGTGAAATCTGACAGCTCTGCAATTTCGTCGTTTCAATGCTCGGATCAGATAAATATTAAAAAAGGCGGTTTGCTCATTTTTTCAATTCGTTTTCTCCAAGCATTTTATCTTTCTTTTAATTCAACTAGCATGCGAAAAAATGTGAGAAAATATTCTCGAAGCATCAATCCAACAAGTAGCTCAGCCAAGAAGTGATATAATATTATGTGTTTGGGATATGTTTATCGGAGCTGTTTAGGCTTCGTAGTAAAACCTATCCATCTTACATGGCTAAAATTCTAGTCACCACAAATGTCTGTTAACAGTAAAGATGGTATCATAATTAATATAATAATTGCAATTTTTGAAGATTAAGATGTCATTTAAATCACAATTGTCAAGGTTTGAACCTGTTATAACTGAAATTTTGCTGTAACTCTAATTAAAAATTAGTATATAATTCACTAAAATATTTCTGAAGGAATTTTAGCAAATATTCTTAATTTAGAATATAATATTGTAATAGTATTTGTAGAATTATTAGAATTTTTATTAGAGTAAAATGACTTTAAAGTTATAAATGATATATAAATAAAAAATATTAATTAATTATAAAAATTATAACATATTATTATATAATTTTGATTATATGACTAATAATTATAAATTTATACAGAAAATCTATAAATAATACTTTGGAACAATAATTAGTTACATGAACTTTTTTGGATCAGTTTGATAGATTATATATAAATATATTAATTAAATAATATTATTTATAATATATTTATAATTATATATTATATATTATTATAATATGAATTTTATATATCACATGATTTATTATACTTTATTATAATTGGATAGTTAATTTTTATGTGATTTATAAATTGTATTCATTTTTATTTCATACTATTCTTTTTAATTCTTTTTTATTTCATATTATTCATATTTTATTCATATTATTTTATTTTATTTTATACTATCTCATACTATTAATTATAATTTCATATTATATAGTTTTAATATAAAAAATACATGTTAATTAATTAACATTATCTAATTTGATTAATATTAATTATAAATTATATATAATATTAAAATAAGCAATATAAGCAAAATAAGTAAGCAAGTGCTTTTCATATAATAATAATATTAATTAAATTAGTTTTAGATTTTAATGATTGAGTAACAAATAACTTGTATAAATATAATATGTATTTTAGCTCAAAAAAAATAATAAGTTAGTTAAGTTAGTTAGTTATTTAATAATTTAATTATCTTTTAACAAAATCTTTTTAGAAATAAATCATATTATAAGTCTTAAATTAAAATTTTTAATTACTCTTTTACTTTCTTATTTGTAATAAGTGATATCTTTTATTATTATTTAGAAACTTAGTAAAAAAAAAGATAATTATTCTAAAAGTTAATTAATAAAAAAAAATTACTTAATAATAAATTATTTGAATTAAAAAAAAATTTCTGAGCTTATTCTAGCTGCTCAATAACTTAAATATTTCATTTACTTATTTTTAGATAATTAGTTATAAAATCTATTTTTTTATCTTTAAAAATATTAAAACATGTAAAATCTTTAGTTAAAATATAATAACTAGTGTTCCTATAAACTGAACTGAACTGGACTTTTGTCTAAATTCAAATTCAATTTGAAATTTGAACCAGACTTTGGCTTGAATTCAAGAAAGATTCAAAGTTTGAACTTGAACTAAATTATTATATAAGTTTGAGTCTGGTTTGAGTTTGATTAAAAATTGATATATACTGATTTGTAGCTCTAAATATAAGCTATAACTTTACTTATAAGTAATTTATAATATTTAGTAAAAATTAAAAGTTTATATAGTAATAATTAAAGTATTTTTATTTTTATATTTATTAAATTTAATTATAACTCTTTGAATAATTATTATTAATAATAACTATTTTATATCAATTTGTAACTCTTATTTTTGACTATAATTTTACTTATAATTATAGTTTATAATTACTATAGTTAATGATTTGGGCTAAAGTACTTTTTAAAGTTCTAAATATTTTGAACTTTGAATTATTATATAAGTTCTAAAGTGTCCTAAATATTTTAAATTCTAATTTAAAATTTTTTTGCAGATTATTTGGTGTTAAATACTTTAGTTTGAATCATTAACTATAGCAAAATAAATATTTATTATACTAAAACTAAAGTAAATTAAAATTGTACTAATTAAAATTATTTTTTAAATTCATATAACTTCTTAAATATTTATTTTAAATATTAATTATCTTATATTAATTTGTAACTCATGTTAAAATCTACAACTTTATTTAGAATATTAACAAATATTTACTTGAATTCAAACTAAACTTTTAATCAGATTTGAGTCTGATTTAAAATTTGAATCAAACTTTTAATTAAATTCAAATTTTTAAATTAAATTTTTAATTAGATTCAAGTCTGATTCAAGCTTGAACTGAATTAAACTTAAACTAAACCAGATTTTTTTGAAATTCTAATAATAACTCTCATACTTGATCAAAAATATATGAAAAATATGTAATTTATATTTAAAAGATAATAAAATTTTACTAAAATAATAATAATATTTAATAATAACAATATTATAATAAATATATCACAAGTTAATTTAAAAAAAATTAATATATATACATATAAAAAATTAGAAAAAAATATAAGAATAATTAATTTTTGAATAAAAATAATATTATTATCAATTTGTAATTTTTATAAATAAAAATATTTACAAGATAAATAATAATAATTGTATTTATATAAAAGTTAATATTATATTTTTTATAATATAATTTTCAAATTAAAATAATAATTTAAAATATTAATAAGTTATAAGAGAAATAAAATATATATAGATAATAATTCAATATATAATAAATTATTTTCAAGAATATAAAAATTAAAAAAACAAAATAATTTAAAATAATTAGTATTTTAATCTATTTTTTATTATAAACAAAATCAAAAATAACTTAAAATTTGTTTTGTCTTTTATATTAAATTATATTTATTTAAATATATAGTGACTAACAAAATTATAGATTCATATGTGCAATTTTATTAATACAAAATAGTAAAAATTAAAATTTTTGTCTTATATAAAAGTTTTTAATTTTATTAATAAATATTTTTTATAGTTTAATATATATTTTTTCTAAATTTTTTAGATTTTTTCTAAAATTTTTATAATTAATTTTACATTTTAATTATAAAAAATTTTTGTAATAACTTTGTAGTTAGAACAACTTTGTCAGAAAAAATTCAAAAAAATATATATTAAACTATAATTTATAATCTTTATTTTAATATAAAAATAAAAAATATTTATTAATAAAATTGAAAACTTTTATATAAGACAAAAATTTTAATTTTTATTACTTTGTATTAATAAAATTATATATAATTCTATAATTTTGTTAATCACTATATATATATATATATATTAAAGTAATATAAATTTATAATAATATAAAGAACTAATAAAATTATTAAGTTATAATATATATAATATCAAAAATAATAAATATAATATAAAATTAATCTAAATATTACAAATAAAATTAATAAAATATTAGTATTATATTAAATAATTTAATAATTAAAATCAAAAAATAATAAAATTATAATTAATATAATAAAATAATATTTATAAATAAATCTTACTTGGAATCTAATAATATTTTATATTATATAATCAAAAAATAATAAATAATAAATAATAATAATATTACAAGAAAATAATATTTAATTATTATTATTATTTTTACTAAATTATAATTAATTGCAATTAAAATCTATAAATTATAATAAATACAATCAAATCTCTCTATAGTTATATCTATTATAGTCATATCTCTATAATTACTCTATTTTGCTTTTCTATTTATATATAAATATAGTAAAAAAAAATTCTTCTATAGTCACATTCTCTCTATAGTTATCAAATTTTGCTTTTCCAAGAATAATAATTATAGAGAGATTTGATTATAACAAATATTATTTTATTTTTATTTTTATTTGCTTATAATTAAATTTCTTTATAATTATCATTTTTGAAAAAACAAACTTGAATAATTATAAAGAAATTGTAACTATAGAATAATTTTTTATTATATTTTTATATAATAAATATAATTATTCCTTAAACTATTAAATTTAATAAGCAAATTTATCTGCTAAAATTTCATAAATTTAAATTTAATATATTTTTATCAAGAATTAAAATATATTTGTTTAATCTTAGCTTAATTATATATTATATAATAATTATTTGTACTATTTTAATAATTATAGTTATCTATAAGTTAAAAATAAATAATTTTTATTATTAATAATAAAATTACAGAATTGAATAAAAAATTAATTAAATATTTTGAGTAATTATAAATTAAAATTACAAATTTTATATTATATTGATTAAAAATATGCTATATTTCTATTTTAGCTTAGAAAAAGAGAAAGTTAAGCTTAAAAAATTAGAAATAAATATACAAAAATAAACTAAAAAAATTTAGTAAACAAATTTGTTTACTGAATGATTTAAGAAATAATAAAAAATATCAATAAAATTTAATTATTTTTGAAAGGCAAAAAATTTTATATAAAAATTATACAAAAAAACTATTATTTTGTAATAAATAGGTCTAGTTACAAAATAATAATTTTCTTTTTAAAATAATCACTTATTTTTTATTAGTATTTATTTAAAAACTCACTATTTTTTATAATTGATAATTAATAGAATAAATATTATAATTTATAATTAATAGAATAAATATTATAATTTATAATTAATAGAATAAATATTATAATTGATAATTAATAGAATAAATATTATAATTTATAATTAATAGAATAAATATTATAATTTATAATTATTAAATCAAATTTAATTGATTAATTTTATTAATTATTATAATAAGTCACAGTAAATAACGTATATCTTATAATAAGTATGCGATTTTTTTGCAAGTAATCAAAAATTGATTTTTTGATTTGTTTAAATTCTGTTTGATTTTTGGAATTAAAAATGGGAATTAATATTTTTAAATATTATATATATATATAATTAGAGAACAGATATATATAATATCATTATGGATTATTATAGAACTATCCCCCCTCTAGATGGATATGCAATCAAACATTAAATAATAATGTTATCTCATATCAAAATATCATTCCGTATTATAATGTTATTTCGCATCATTATAATAATATGCATTGCTTGAATCCAGCTCTATATATTTTTCTCACTATAATTTCTAAATACAATTGACGAGAGTATAGTTTGATATATTGATCATGAGAAAAAATAAATCAGATTACAGTGATTTACATTTTACATTCCTATATTCTAATTGGCTATTAAATTAAAATCACGTGTCACTTTAATTGAAATAATTCCTATATTCTGATTGGCTTGTATTACTTAAAGTCACGTGAAACGTGAGATTTTGATCTCCCCTATAATTACGCGCGTCCTGTACTGTTTAGAAAAATTATCAACTATAAAAGAAATAATCACCTACATCCGCATTTGGTATATTCCCTGATTGTATTCTATGACTTAGTCATAGACCAACACTGGAATGTAGAGATTGAGCACACGCACGAATCGATGATTCGTGCGTGTGCGACAAAACGAAATATTTTCTCAATCTCTGCATTCAATTATTTTTTTCTCCTAAAAGAAATGAAAAATTATACTCAGTACATGCAACGGACTGGCCAACAGTATAGCCTGTACTCATTCCTAATTTTTTATGCTGTTACGGATCAAATTTCCTATGCTACTGATAAAACCGAAATGAAGATTACACTACACAATAAATATGCGAATGAAACAAATCAAACAACAAAAACAGAGGCAAGTATATTTTTTATTGACAAACTAACAATTGGTTAGAACATGATGACAAACTGTATTTTTATTTCTTGGATCATTGTGTGATTTATTGGTGGGGTGCACCGTCCAGTAAGCATGAATTCGATTTTTGTTGATTTCAACAATCGATTTATTGGTCGTCCAATAAAGATACCAAAAATCGAATTCTGATTTTTACACGATCGATTCCTTGATTTCTATGTAATTACTCTCAGTTTGATGTGTTTGTTGGGGTGCAACCGTCCAACAACATATGATGAACCTACTGTTACCAGTGGCGAGAATTATGTCTGGTTTTGTAAAGTTAAAAGTACATTTCTCCAAATAATATCTCACAAATTCAAATTTCTCCTTTGCAGAAACTAAACAATAATGTGAAAATTCTGGGATTTACTTGAAATTCCGGTGCAATTTGGGGGCTTATCACATCAGAATGTCTTCATTTCGGTTGGTTGGATCTTTTACCAAAGGATTACTATTGTGATCTTCTGACAAAACAAAAATGTCGCCTTCGTAATGTAAGAAACCAAAAAAGATAATTTATATCTCATCATATTTCTTTTCTGATAAGAAATTTCTAATAATTGACAACTCAGACCCAGTTGTTCGTATCATCGGTCAACAAGTTGGGTTATGTGCTGATATAAAGGAAAACGATGTGTTGTTTTCGGGAATAATTGATACTACTAATAAGAGGCTTCCCAAAAGAATTAGAACAGTTGCTAAAAAACAATCATACAGTGGGGGACAACAGGCCACATCCATTTTACCTTTCCCACGTCAAGTCTTATAGTTCGATGAGGGAAGGTTATACGAAAAAAAATAACTTGGCCAAATAATAGCCAATTGACCCAGCTACAATTTGGCCAAGTTATTTTTTTCGTATAACGTTCCCTCATCGAACTAAGATTTGGCATGGGAAAGGTAAAATGGAGAGAACAAACGGGTTATGGAATCCACCTGGAAGCATGACTTTGTTAACAATGTGAAAAGATTGATTTTCCATGACATAGACGAATTTGCTGTGGAATAATTGGAACTTTTGTATTTTCTTACACAAATTGGTTTAGATTTTGTGAGAAGAGAATTCATGCTGTTTTAACGTAATTTTTTCTATTATATAAAAATAAAGTTTATTATTTTATTATGGAAATTGGATTGCGATGAGTGTATCCACCGCAAAATTTATAAACACATAACTCATTTAATTGTTGCTATTGAGGGCGTGATCGCCAGATTACTATTGTTTGCGTAGGAGGAGAGGAAGATCACACAGGCTTCACACGGTTTAGACCACTGAGCCACGAGAAGAGAAATAGTTTGTATGTATCCATCTCTCTTAATAAAAATAAATATAATATCGAAATGCCCTGCCCACTCATTTCATTCGTGATCAGATAGTAGATTGACTATCATATATGTGAGAAGGCAGGATCTAGTTGATATCGCATATATAATCGTGTTTACTTTTGCATGATCGAGAATTTTTTCGTATAACTTTTACTAATTCTAATAAACGAATAAACTCAGTCTTGATCTCGTGATGAAGATCGTTTACCTTCTGATATCTCCCTTAAAATCATGAGTTTCGGTTAGGGTTAGGGTTAAAGATTATTATATAACGATAATAAACTTGAACATAATACGTATATAGTAAAATTTCACAAGGAACATTTTTTGTTAGAACACAAATAGGAGTTGGCTAAAGCCTGGTGAATCCAGTGATCTGTTCGATTAACCTGAAAAAACAATATGAAAAATATGTTTTAAAGATTGATTTTAAACTTAGTGTTAGTTTCGGGGCTAGAGTTGAAATCAAAATTATATAAAATTGCCTGCCCGACATTTTTTATTAGTATACCAAGATAGATTTAAGCATCTGTTTTCCGTTATTTTGTTCGCGCTTCGGATTGGTTTTGCCGGGCTGATCAAAAATTTACGCATCCTTATTGGTTTGTGTTTCGGACTGATTATCGAATGTACTCCCGAAATTTTTTTATTTCTTAAAGTACACCGTGTACCATGGTCACACCCAATACTATGAACGTTCTTTTTATCTGAAAAGTCGCCGTATGTTTAGCTGGGACAGTGGTGAATAGGATACATGAATAAATAATTGAAAGCACATCATGGCAACATGTTCTAAAATGAGCGAATCGCGAATATGGAATATGTTAATGTCCTTATTTTATCTTGATAATGATGACACAAATATTTACTTTTTAATTTTTTAGTGGACGAGACGATGGAGGAAAAGATATAGATTTGTAGTTCAATGTAAATATTACTTATATAGAAAGGTACACCCCGATTTTATTCAACAATTAGAAGGGGTGTTATCGCAAGAACCTAAAAATACAATTGGAATATTTGTGATTCCAAATAGAGATGATTATACTCGAGGTGTAAAATATAGAGTTAGAATATCAAAATTTAATATATTATTAACCGATAGAGATAATATTATTAAAGATTTATTAGAGTATACAAAAAATAGATTAGAAACTGACAAAAATAGATTAGAAGATAGAAAAGAACTTAGAAAATGAGATAGATTCATTAGAAGATAAAGTAGATTTTATAAAAAATATTAGATTAGAATTTGAATTAGAAAATAGAGTAGATATTCGATTTTTTTATTTATTTTTAATATTTTTTATTTTATTTTTAATAATTTTTATTTTATTTTTATTTTCTTTTTGTATATAATTTATTTATTAAAAAAATCAGTTTAATTGGATCTTGCCATAACGATAATGCTTCGAGAGGATTTATCAACCACATCATCATTTGTAACGTGGTGACATACATATAAAATTAACACCATGATGCAAAGAAGCATAGCATGAGGGAAATCATGATTTATTCTTAGCTCCGATGGAATTTATTGTGTGACAATCTGAAAAAAATACGCGCTCCTTTTTCACAATGTCTCATAAGGGAAGTGACAAATATTAGCTAATATTCTAGGGAGGGAGGGGGGATGGCCAAATCTCAGGTATTAATATAATCTCACGTGCATGTGTTAAATGAAATCTCAGGAGGGTCCCTATAACAAAATGGATATTAGCTAATGATTGTCACTCCCCTAAAAAAGAAATATTTCTTGTATTTCGATCACCTTTTACTTAAAAACTATCAAAGTAAATAGTGATGAGGAAACCTTAAATGATGCCATCATTAAAACATTTCAAGTGAAAAATCTAGGAATACGGGTCAGACACTTTGGCCGGTACCACTTTACAGAACCCCGATGAATCGAAAGCTCCCCCGACAACCGTATCAGAAAATAAACCTCGTAAAAGACCTCGCGAGGAAGATACCTCTGACAAGAACGAGAAAAGCTAAAAATGGATATACCACGGTGAAAAAGCTCATCGAAGAGTTGTCCAACGCCAAAGAGCTCCAGCATGATAACACCAGTATTATGACAAAGGCGGCGTAAATGTGATTTTTTTGGACATCGAAATAGCAGAATAAGCCAGCCTCTCAATAATTGAACCTCTACGAACTAAATAAAATGACATCACGATATCATTTGATGTTGTCCAATGGGCGAGCAAAGAAAGGGTTAATTTGTTTGAAATTTCAAAATATCTATGATTTATAATGAATTGAAAATGCACGTAAAAGTCTAATAATTAAAAGCCAGTTTGAATACACACCATGCTATGTAACTATTGTCAGAAAATACGCAATTGGTATATCGATATTGTTTTACTTTCAATAAATTATTCTACTCGAGTTATAAGAGGGAGTGCGTTTTAGCCTGTTGAGTGGGAGTACATCTAATAAAAGTCCTCTAGCACTAATCTAGTAGCAATGTTCATACTCTGAAGCTCTTGAATCAATAATTTTGTAGCATATGGTATTTGTAAATTTACGACGTGCTTGCTAGATTTACAATGTTGACACCATCGTGCTTGACCCAACAATCCACAATTTTCACAAACATGCACTTCAAACGCATCTGATGACAACATCAAACGTTCCATTAGCAACATGCTTGCACCATAACTGACTAGACAATCACGTTCCATCTCGCCAAGACGTAGACCACCCTCACGTGCACGGCCTTCAGTGGGTTGTCTAGTGAGAGTTGCACGAGGACCTCTGGAGATCACGGAAAATTACATAAGATACTATGGAATAGAAAGTTGATGAATGTAAATTCACGTACCTTGAACGCGCATGCATTTTGTCTACGACCATGTGTTTTAGTTTTTGATAATAGACAGGCCCGAAGAATATATATGCTTGCAACGGTTCTCCAGTGATTCCTGTTTAAAAATAACAGAAGAATTCTTATTATTAGTTGCGTGACTATCTTGCTCTTTCTCAATTATTTTGTCGGAATGAAAAATACCAGATGTGAGATAATCTTTTCCTGAATAATTGAATCCATTCTCAACAAGAATTTTGCTCATATCCTCGACTTTACCTCCGTTAAACGCGGTACCATACTGAAATTCTCCTTTAAGAATTCCCGCTTTGCCTGCCAGTAATTCGATCATTTTTCCAACAGTCATACGAGACGGAAATCCATGCGGATTCATGATTATATCAGGGCAAATTCCCTGATCAGTAAACGGGAGATCTTCTTGAGGCACAATAATTCCACATACACCTTTTTGACCATGGCGCGAAGAAAATTTATCCCCTATTTCGGGTACACGCGTTTGTCGTACAAGTACTTTAATAAGTGTCTGTTCACTTTCAGTAGTTGTCATGATGACCTAAATCAATATAAATATTATTAATATTTAAAATCTAAAAAATAATTGAAAAAGAATCATAATTCGGACCTTATCAATATATGAAGGTTCAGGAAACTTGTATGAAGTAGGTGTTGATTTGTATGAGCTAGCTTGACCATCAGTATTGGTAACTGCCGCAATATTATCATTAAGATTGGTTGGTGATTGCTTGTTGATCAACACTTGTCTATCAAATACTCTTTCACCAACTGCAGCTATTCCATCCATATCGAGAATATCAAATTTATTGTAGCTATTCCCGGGCTTTTTTGGCGGCGGATCAGCAAGACGATCATAGCTTTACAGAAAAATCATTATTAAATTGGTGAGAAATAAAAAGATTAAGAAGAGCAATTTCTATCTAACCTTCCATTCGAATATTTTTTGAGAACACATGGATATTTACGCAACATCTGGCAACGACCAAATCCACGATCTACTGACGCCTTTATATTCCAATACTAAATATGATCTATAACAAGGAGGAATGCATAAAGTCAAAAGAATGAGAGATCACATACTCTATTAAGAACCAGTGCATCTTCAATGTCATATCCGGAATAACTCATAACTGCTACTATGGCGTTTTGTCCTGCAGGTAACTTTTGTTTAAATAGTAAATAAATTAATTAATGCATAAATTGAAATATAATTGACGAGAAAAAAACTACTCACTTTATCATACTGAACAAGTTCAATGGTTTTCGTCTTTACAAGAGGGACTTGAGGATAAACCATCAAATAAAGAAGTGTATCAAATCTTTCGAATTGATTAGATGCTATAGCACCGATGGCTTGTTTGCCCATAGCACATTGATAACTATTTTTTAGTAAGTCAGCATTAATCATTATAAATGGTTAAAGAAGAATCTCGATTATAACACTAAAAGATAGAATAGTTACGTGTTTCTTGGACTTTGGTTGTGATGAGGATACGGAATTAACCCTGCAACAGCACCCAAAATAGTGAAAGGTTCTATTTCAAGATGTGTAGTCTCATCAATAATCTCACGCTCATATATGGCAATCAACGAGTCATTTTCTTCATTGACATCCAGATATTCGATGAGCCCTTTTCTTAAAAAATAATTGAAATCACATCGACCTTGTTTAAGCATCTACAGAGTATAAACCAAATAAGCGAGAATGAACGTTTCTCAATTAAACAAGAGAAATTCATGGAATTAATCAATGCAACCAACCAAACTAACCTGAATATGCTTTTGCGTGACTTTGGGTTTTTTATTTTCCACAATTATTAATGGCCGACAAACACGTCCACCATCCGAAGCAATATAAATGGTTTTTTGGTGATGATTTGTGTATATGCTCACAAACTCTGAAATACCACCATGTCGACGTATTTTCCGGAAATTTTTGACAAATGTGGCGGCTTGACGGGTAATCCCAAGCACAATACCATTCAAGAAAATGACGTAAGCTTTTCTTGCATAAATTTCAGCGCCAGTCGAAAGGTTAATATCTGAATGAAAACAAAATATTGCATCACATTTTTTTAAAATTTATTAAAAGCATTCTATCTATATAATGGCTGTACAAACCTTCGACAAGACCAAGATTAAAGACAAAGTTCGCTAAAGGAACCTCCTCATCATCAGTTGTGATATGAGTCATCAATGCAAGGTTCTTTACTAAACCACAAGCTTCACCTTCTGGCGTATCAGCCGGGCACAACATACCCCACTGTGATGGTTGCAGTGCTCGAGGACCACTAATTTTTCGGGTTTTCTCGAATTGTGAAGTGATTCTTGTCATCATACCAAGTGTTGATATATAGCTTAGGCGACTTAGAACATGCGTCACGCCAGCTCTGTCCATCTTGAAACGTTTTACTGTCCAATTTCCTGTGGATATTGCTCGAATGAAACCATTTGTGATATGATCACTATGATATTTCACATAGTTTACTGCATCGAATTCTTGTGCTCTATTCGGTTTCCTTAGCACTTTGTCGATGTTAGTTTTCACTTCGGAATTAAACTTTTTGAATAGATCCTCGAATAGTAAGGACAATAAAGATCCTGCTCTATTTTTTTTAAAAAAAAGTAAAAGTTATTATTATATTATTTATATTCATAAAAGAATTTTTTATCTGAAAAGAAAAAGAATAACCACTCGCAATTCCAATCTTTTATTCCCGACATAGTCACGATCATCAACCAGCTTTGGATTGGCAATAGCCATCAACACTCGTCTCACCATAAAAGAAATATAGATGCACTTTGAACGGAAATTAAGATCTACAACTGGTACATGTGCCAAGACTGTTGTCGCGAGAATTTCGAGCGCTTCGTCGATGATCGGGTTCTTTAATGACGCGTTTTTTCGCGTCACTTTGATTGATTTTCCAATGTATTCGAGCGCTTGGTTCTGTGTGAAGATTTTCATGCTAGCACATTCTTCGATATTTGGGGCAAACATGTTTAAAAAAATCTCGTTTTCCCCACACACGAGTAGTGCTATCTCTTTGTCACATAACATTCCCATTGCCTACACAAATATAAAAATATATTATCAAAAATTAACTCGTACCATAATATCAAAAAGGGCATCATACCTTCAATGCCACCACAATGGGCACATCATTAGATATCGAATTATGTTTAAGAAATATTTTATCGTGTTTGGAAACTACATATGTTTTACTTTTTCGCTCATGTGTTGAACTAATAAAAAAATTTAAAAGATACAATCAATTATGTTGTATGTATACTAACATATTAAGAAAGGTCATTATTAAAGCTAGTTACCTTGTAACATAAGCCTGGACAGCACCTTTTTTTTCACTTTCCACAATTATCCGATTCTTAGAAAGTTGTTCTTGTATCAAAATAACCTTTTCAGTCCCTTTCACGATAAAATAACCACCTGTATATAATTATACGATCCGAAGGTGTATATTTTTGCTCAATATTAGGCATATAAAATATATATTTTCGAATTCCACAAGTGGCGAAAAATAAATTTTACCAGGATCCAGAGGACATTCGTGCATTCTAGCCAACTCTGTTTCATTTTTACCACACAAAATACAATGCGAGCTACGAAGCATGATGGGTAGCTGCCCAATTCGTATATTTCGCTGCAGCACACGTGCATTGCCTCTCACATACTCTACGTCCACAAAAATTGGCGCGCTGTAGGTTAAATCGCGTAATCGACATTCTTGTGGGGTGTACATTCTGTGTTGATCCAATAGGTCAGGCCGCTCTGGAAATCCTACTGAAATTTTTACGAATCTTTTTCGATTTTGTGGGTATTATTAGTTTTAATTCCGCGAGTTTGAAATTGACAAAAAGTCGCAAAAATACAAACTTACATAGTTAGATGGATATATAAATAAATATAGCTTTAAGAAAACCTACTTTAACCAAAACCTTGGATCGACATCGGATTTCACCCATTTGTTCGCTTCTACTATTTTCTGAAGGTCGATATTCACAAAGTAGTTGAAAGAGTCGATGTGTTGTTTCACGAGACCTTTAACTTTCAAAAAAGCGGGCAAGAGTTCCCACTTATCCTAAGCGAATTTCATTAATTGGAAAACTCCTATAACTTTTGCTTTTCGAAATTTTTTTGTAAGATAAATACCTCAACAGTCGGAATGGGGTCTGTCAAGCCTTTTCCTCTGTGAGAAGGTGCTGTGAGACTCGCAAACGCGTCAGCAGCCATCAATTCCTTACCAACTATTATCGAGAAAAGTAAATTAAGTAAATTATCTAAATCGATATTATGGAAAAAATTCGAAGGTCATGGAAATTCCGCGTGCATGATTTGTTCGTGTGACAATCTGATTTATGATCGTTTTTCGCAATGTCTACTAAAAGAGAAATATTTTCAAAAAGTTTCAATTAGGGAAATTTAGAGTTGAGTATACTTTTACTTGTATACATATCAAATAAGCTAAATGATGAGATATATGTATGGTGTAAGGAAATATAATATATAGATTATTTTTTGTATAATTGTGAACACTTATTTCATAATAAAAAAATTAGATATGATCTCTCAAAGTTTTTATTTTATATACAGTCAACTCTCTATAACGAACTGACAGTTCTGGTAGTAAAAAAAGTTTGTTATATAAAATCACTATGTTTTTTATAGAGCCCACTACTCTATATAAATTTAAAAATTCAAGGTTTTATATATATAGAGTCGATCAATTAGCAATAACCAGAATTAAAGATTTATCACGTGCTCTAATTTGATTGGTTAGCATTATTATAGTGCCAACCCAAATTATAAAGTTACTTGTAAAGATCCGGATCGGATCTTACGTCACGTGAAACTACCCAAAATATAAATCTGATTGCATTCGACTTATTCGAATAAAATTGCGCGCGTCTATAATAATAAAAATGAGTAAGAGTACGGACATTAGAAATTTCTTTGGAAAGAAGTCAGCAGAGAGTCCTGCCAAAAAGACACCACGGAAGCGTCGAATAATTGGTTAGAATTTGAATTTATCTTAGTCTTGTGGACCACTCTTATATTCACTATTACCTTTATTTGTCTAAATTGATAAAATTATAGAAGAGGAAGACGACGAGGATTTTGCACCAAGGTTACAGCAGCCTGTGAAAAAAGAGGAAGACGACGAAGATTTTATACCAAGATTCCAGCAGCCTGTGAAAAAAGAGGAAGACGACGAAGATTTTGTACCAAAGTTCCAGCAGCCTGTGAAAAAGAAAGATTCTGAGCCAGTACGCCGTGGAGCTAAAAGAAAGAGTAATGAGTTTGCCACAATTGCTGAAGGCGCGAAAAAAGCCAAGAAAAAGGGAAAATCGGACGATGTATCGACTGAAAAGGAAGGATTAGAGGTAAGGCTGAATTCGAGTATAAATTATTGTTTTTGAAAAAATAATGTTTCATCTTTTCTATTATTTGTAAAAGGGAAAGACATTCGTATTTACTGGTGATCTTTCTTTTGAACGTGATGAAGCACAAGATATGGTTAGACGTTATGGCGGGTAAGCATTTGAGATGATTTTCTTTTCTTCACATTCTTCTGACTTCTAATCAAAATTCAATAATCCACATCGTAATAGTCGTGTGACAGGTGCACCAAGCTCAAAAACATCTTATCTCGTAGTGGGTGAAGAGCCGGGACCCAAAAAGATCGAGAAAGCCAAAGAACTCAATATTCCAACTCTAAATGAAGAAGAATTTCTTGATTTGATTAAAAGCATAGAAAAAAAAAAAGCTGAATCTGCTGTTAAGAAAGAAGATTTGCCTGAAGACAAGTCAGAAGTTGTTATCGTTTCTCCGTCATCATCAACCAATGAAAATATAGTTGTAGACTCTCCATCTGCAGTCGAGTAAGTAATTTTATATGTTTTTGATTTCAAGTTAAATATATAATTATAATCTCTTTCTAAATCTGTAGGTCGAAATTATGGGTGGATAAACACAAACCGAAAACATTAGCTGAATTGTGTGGTAATAAATCTGCCATCGAAAAACTTCAAAAGTTTCTTTGTGATTGGTAGGTTTTTTCTTTTCGTTTTTGAATAACTCGAAGGAATGATAAACTATAAATTGTTATAGGGATAAAAATCAAAAGAGAAATTTTCCGAGCGGTTCCAAAGACGACCTCAGTGGATTTAGGGCAGTTTTGATTTCTGGCCCACCCGGGATCGGAAAGGTAAGATTGCTTTACTTTCAATTAATTTTTTATTATTAACTTTTTATTATTAATTTTTTTTATATTTTCTTTGGTTTTTAATTAAAGACAACAGCTGCTCATTTGATCGGTGAACTTGAAGGATACGAAATCGCAGAGTACAACGCCAGTGATGTCCGGTCTAAAAAATCCTTGGAGGTCTAAGATCTGTTTAAGTTTATTGCATTCAATTAGACTTTTTTCTTACCTGCGAAATTGCTTTCATTGTTTTGTAATTTCATAGGTTATGGTAAAAATTGCAACATGCAATACGTCAATTACTAGTTTTTATCATCATGCTTCAAGTGACAGTAAAGCTCCCGAGGTAAGGAAATTTTACTTTGTACTAATTTGGTTTATTTTCAATTTGGAAAATAATCTTTTTTTTGGTCATGTAACACGATGTCCAGACAAAGCACGGTCGTCCTCTCATAATCATGGATGAAGTGGATGGAATGTCGTCCGGAGATCGTGGTGGATTAGCTGAGTTAATGTTGTTAATTAAGAAAACTCAAGTAAATTTTAATTATGATCTCTTTGGATCTCTTTCGTTTTGCATGCCATAATTTTACCAATATTGTGTTTTAATAGGTGCCGATCATTTGTATTTGTAATGATCGGGCTTCTTCCAAAATGAGAACTTTGGCAGGCTCTCCCTTAGTTTGTGATTTACGATTCCAAAGGTAAGTTCTTTTTATATTTTTATTAAATTACTGTTTTTATTCACGCCCATTTACTTATTTTATATTATACTTTTTTTAGACCTCGTGTTGAGCATATTAGAAGCCGTATCCTGTCTATAGCTTTTCAGTAAGTTACTTTGATACAAACATTTTGTAAAGAAAAAACGCACATGTTTTGATTATCAATTACAATGTTGATGCTCTTTACAGAGAACATCTTAAGCTTACTGGTCCTGTTGTAGACGAGTTGATCCGTAACTCGCGTACTGACATTCGCCAAGTACTGAACATGATGTCTTCGTATAAGCTCACGAATAATTCGATGGACTTTGACCAAGGACAGGAATTGTAAGCTGGAATCTTTATATCAAGTATTTATGGAGAAGAAAGTAAATAATGTTCAAGTTTTTTTCTTTAATAAATAAAAGATCAAAAGCATCGGAAAAGAACGACGTTTTGAGTCCATGGGATGTCACTGCTAAATACTTCAGTCCAGCTTCGTGGAGAGAAAAAAACATGGATATAAACGAAAAAATTGAATTGTACTTCCATGAACCTAATCTTATTCCGTTGATGATTCAGGTAAGTAATATACATGTGAAATATTTCCAAGACAATGGAAATAAACTATATATTTTGGTTTAACTGATTTTTCACTATTTTTTTTGGACTTTATTAAACAGGAAAATTATATAAAAACAAAACCGACTCGTGCCACGGATATAGCAAACAAAACTGGTCAAAGTCTTGACCTTGTGACTTTAGAATTACGAAGCAAAGCTGCTGATGCTATTTGCTTTGCGGATATAGTAGATGCAAAAGTACACAGGTATATATGTGATTTCATTTTTTTTGGCAGTTTTCGAAATATAACGACAAATTCACATTTTTTTAGCACTCAGCAATGGAGCTTGATGCCATTCCATGCAGTAATGTCATGTTTGATGCCCGCATCTTATATTCATGGTTCGATGTCTGCTACGAGCTATTATGGCGGTGGTCCAATTGCATTTCCAGGGTAATATAATACTGAACAAACGATCTTTTTTCTCAAAAAAAATGTTCGGTTTTCTAACCGCTATACACGAGATAATTATATTTATTTTGGTGATGTAGCTGGTTAGGTAACAACTCGAAAGCAAATAAATACCAACGAAAACTTCAGGAAATACAAAGTCGCATGCGACTAAGGATATCAGGTGACAAAAATGAAGTCAGGCAGAGTTACATTCCTGCTTTGATTCCTGCCTTGACAAAACCGTTGATTGATCGCGAAAATGTATGTTTTATTTTTTGTATCATGCAACAAATTTAAAAGATTTCATGCGATTATTTACCTTGATCTGATCTGCAAAAAAAATTAGGATGGGATACCAGAAGTGATAGAAAAAATGGACGAGTACTTCTTGACCAAGGAAGATTGGGACGTGATGCTTGAAATGGGACTTGCGCATAACGATGGCGATAAAATATTGAAGAGGATTCCCACTTCTGTCAAATCAGCCTTCACAAGAAAGTAAGTACATCCAAATAAACACGTATTTTCAAATCATTATATGTTTAATTACTATTTAATTAAATAGTTCTTTAAATTAATCCTTGCACACGCAGATATAATAGCTCTTCTCATCCAGCTCCATACACGCGGGGCCTTGTCACAGCCAAGGCAACAAAAGCCGTTGCTGGACCCTCGTCGAAAGAAGTTCCCGATATCGAAGAAGCAATCGAAATCGATGAAATTCTTGAAGAGGAAGACGGATCATCGAATGATGCTGCCGAAGATGATTTAACGCAAGATAAAAACATCAAAAGGAAAAATGGAACTGGGAGAGGCAAAGCTGCTGCTAGTTCAAAGAAGGCCGCGAACGCTTCGGGATCTAGAGGTGCACGTGGTTCGGGATCGAGAGGAGGAAGGGGAAGCCGAGGTGGTCGTGGTAGGGGTAAAAAATAGAATATCATTAACTTATTCAGTGGATAGTAATGAGTTTTAGGTTATTAGTTATCATAATACTATATGTATAAATATGACGATAAATATGACGATAAATCGTATTTCCACTTACGTTACATCAGAAAGCCAGGTTTTGTCGATCATGGACCAGCAGCCAATAAGAATGCGCAATTTTTTGATCAACATCCAATAAGAATGTAGAAATTTTTGATCAGACCGGCAAATCAAATCCGACACAAGAAAGGAAAAATACAAGAAACGCGAAAGATACGAGAAACAGGTGCCTAAATCTAGCTTGGAGTACTAATTAAAAACGTCGGGGAGGCAATTTTACTTGCAACTTGGAACTTAGTGCTAACCATAACCTTAATCCTTCTAATGTTAATTAATATTCCTGTAGAATTTTCCGAGATCAACAAAACCTGGCACAATAAAACATCCAATACTGCGCCAAAGCGCCAAAACGCCAAAATTTATTGTAGATCTTGTACATATTAATTAATTTAACCAATCAGAATTATTTATTATTGAAAATTGGATGGTTTATGCTGTCCGGTACTATATATCGGTATTGATAATTAACGCTTAACTATTACGTGTACCCCTGCATTCATTATTCTTTAACTCTCGAAACCCAACACTTCAAATTCGGCTTCGGTCTCCACGTAATTCTCAATTCTTTTTTCACAGCAAATCCTTCAATCTCACGAAATTTGAAATTCCTTATCAGCACCGCCAAAAACACTTTGAACTCGTTCAACGCAACCTTATTCCCAATACACGACCGAGGACCCGTCAGAAATGGCAAGTAATTGAAATTTGAAAGTTTTGTGGTGAGTGTAGGGTCAAGCCACCGTGACGGAACGAATTTTTCGGCGTCTGGGCCCCAGAAAGAAGATAGTCGGTGCATGGCGACTATATTTATAGATACTCGCGTGCCTTTTGGGATGAGGTAACCGTTTAGTATGTCGTCTTTTGAGGCGATTCGTAATCCAATTGGTACCGGAGGTACTAGTCTCATTGTTTCCTTTAAATTACAAAAAATATGATTTAGAAAACAAGTTGAGTTGCTTCTTTCTGTTTCATATCCAAAATCACCTTTATAACACAATTCAGATATTCCAATGAATTTATCGTGTCAAAATCTGGAACGAAATCTGAGTCGGGAAAGTGTTCAATAATTTCTTTACGTAAAGTGTCTTGTATATCTAGATGTTTGGAGAGAAACCAAATAGCCCATGTCGTAGCTACCGAGGTAGTTTCATGACCAGCTGCCAGGATTGTCATAATCTGTTGTTGTAATTCAATATCAGACATCTTTTCCTCCTCGTTTGATTGTTGTAAATTGACCTTAATCAACGACGTCAACAGATCATTTCCTTCCAATTCTCCTTTGATTGCCGCCTCTTGTCGTTCTTTTACCAGACGCATCGAAACTTTATCTTTATTTATGGAATTCAACAAAGCATATTTTAATATTAATAAATTGATTGTTAAAGCAATTTTCGTTACAAACCAACAATTTTCGATGCTCGTTGAGTATCACGATTCGCTTTTATGGGAATATTCCGCATTATCGGAAAGTAATTTGAGAGAATAATGTAAAGAGCATGTGGTTTGTTTTCTGTGCCGAAAGCCATTGTGTAAGCGTTTGCTAATTCGTCGTTCCCGGTCAACGCATTTAATTGGTAATTGAAACCTAATTCAAAAAATACGAAAATTTAAAGCATTTCCGATAATGAATTCATTTCAAAAAACGATAAAAAGCACAAACCAATCATTCCGATAGCATCTAACGTAGCTTTCGACATAAACGACATAATATCGATCTGTATCTCTTTTCCATCTTTATGATTTTCCAATAACTCGATCCATATTTTTTTCAAAGTATGTAATGGCTTTGCAAATATCGGGACCATTCCCTATATTGATTAATTTGAATCAATACTTGGACCACTAAGAAAGTCGTGACGCGCTATAGCTAAATACCATGATTAATTAACCTTTATATTTGCAAATGTAAAAGCAGGCGTCATCAACTTTCGTTGCCGCTTATGAACATCGCCTTCCACCAACAACAATCCTTTTCCCAATATCGGTAACAAATTTGCTATAAGAAACGGAGGCTTCGGGTACTCGTAGACATTATTAACTGTCACGTGTTGTATTAATTTTGGGTCAGTTATTTGTATACGAGGGACATTGAGAAATCCGTGGAATCTTAACAGTCCACCATATTTTTCTGCCCATCGAAGTTGTGGTACTCCGAACTGAAATGGAGCAAGTTTCAACTGATTTAATTCACTGATTATGTATTATACATATATGTGTTTTATTGATCGTTTAGTCACCTCTTCTTTGAGAAATGATAAAGTGTTTCCCATTAACGGCGCGTCAGTAGGTGGCCCAGGTAGTTTTCGAATAGGTGATAAATAGAATGGATACAGGTACAATTTGTAGGTTAAGTATCCAGCAATAACGGTACAACTCAAAATAACCAATTCGTATAAATCAATCATTTTTTTTAATCTATTTATTTAACTGAAGTAAGTGAAACTAATAAATTTGTGGATATTGGGTAAATGTAGAGAAGTGATTAAATAGAGAAATGAGATTGTCATATTAATGTTATATATACGTGATTGTACTCACCATTGTGAATCAGCAATTTCTTTATTTGAACACGTCATTTAACATTAATAATATTTTATATACGAGTGTACGAGTATTTCTATCGTCATTACAAAAATGGATTTTCTTGAAAGTAATAATAGATCATCACTTTATAAAGAAAAGATTCCTGGTATGTTTATACGATTACGAATGGAAATTACGTGAGACATTATTATAATTGTATGTTTAATTCTTGTTGTAACTCCAAAGAACCTTGTGCTCGAAAACAAGTCTTTGAATGTGTGCTGATAGTGCAAAAATCTTGGGTGCATAGTTTAAAATCACGTTGGCAAGAACGCCAAGTTCGTCGCAGATCATTGGGTCTCTCAGAACTTGCCATCGGAGGATTCAAAGTTTTAACCGACAGCAGAGACTGTAGTGAGGAGAGTATTGATTGGGTGGATTGTGAGGAAATAGAAGAAAAAAGGTAAATGAGTAATGTATTTCTTTTTTGTATCCATTTTAAGCAAATAGATATTCGCATACGCCATTTTTTAAAAGTCGGTTTTTGTCGTATTTAGTAATGATACATTACAATCACCCCAAAAATCGAAGATTACCAACAAATTCATCGAAAAATGTACCTCATTTCCCACTTTTACGCGGGAAACTATTAATGTCGAAGATGGAAATGACGGTGACACCGAGCAAGAAAAGCAAGAGGAAGAGAATGAAGATGACGATCCTCCCGCTTCTTGTCTTCCGTTTACTACTTCTGGCTACTCTCTAGTCAACAACAATACCAACGAAAACTCTGCTATTGTCGGGTTAAAAATGTCTACTCTATCACCAACTTCGGGCATTCCCGTATTAAAATCAATACCAGCAAAAGCGAATTCTTCGAAATCAGAATTTAATGATATCAACGACAATCCCGAGTACGACACAGAATTTTGGGAAACTGAGGAAGAGATTGAAGAAATGTCATCGAAAGATGTCATTAATCTTAAAGATTGGCATACTAAAGATGAGAATATTCAATTTCTTCCGGTGGACGACGATTGCTGGATAACAGAGGAAGAAATGGAAGTTGTGGAACTGTCGTCTGCTTGTTTGCATAGTTTCACGACAAATAAAATTAATTATGCTTGATATTTTATACATTGATGTTTCTCTCGAGTACAAAAAAAGAACTCTTTAAATGAAGAATGATACTTCTCTCAAGGACTCTTTAAATGAAAAATTGATAAGTAGTACGTAGTAATGTAAGAATGTAGCATGCATGCATACATATACATCTTAAATTAAGAACATAATTGAAACATTTACCTCTTTAGTCATACAATTGATGACGATAATGGCGTGAAAAAGCCAAGGACTCCGTAATTTATAATTTTGATTTTAACAACGCCAAATGCGGTGAATTGAGAGAAAAAACTATTGCACTCGCAAAAATAATTTCCCTTTCCGAGTATGAAAACTAAATTAACTTATCTCCCCGAAATAGAATTTCGCAGATTCTATTGAATTTATATTGTTTACAATAGGATGTATATTGTTATTGTTATTGTTATTGTTATTATGTAAACTAAAAAATAACAATAGTGATAATGATAGATCTGCATACAATGAATCGGGAAATAGTTATATTTGTAACACACAGAAAATGAACAATGTCATTTTGATTTTTTTTGGAACAGTTAAGGCCGTAACGGTAACGGTAAGATCAAACACACGAGGTAGATGACAACCCATTTAGAAAAACTAAAAAAATGTGCATTCATGCATGCACACAAACTTGCTATCGTTATGTGCCGTATTTGTGGAATAAATAGCGAGTCTGTCCATATTTTTTAGAGCTGCTTCTGCCCACTTCATTTTTTTTTGTCGTTTTTATAATTAGTTTCACGAGTTGTTGCCGTCGTCATTCTTTCCCCTCCCCCCTTTATATTAATTAAGTAATCTCTTCTCCATCCTCGCTCTCGCCTCCATCCTCGTTCTCTCTTCAATGCTCATTAGTAGTAATTGATTGAAGAAGAGTTTATTATTTGGATTATTAACTTTATTTCATACACGAATTACCTTTTTTAATCTTTATAATATTTACGAAAAAAAGCCCATAATTTGACATCATCATTTGAATTAAGAGGGAAAAAACTTGTTCCCATCAATTTGTCCGGAGAAGATAATATTTTTATTAACCACTGGCTGGCTATAGCGATAGTTTACAATTAATAATAATAATAATAATAATTATAATAATCAATCCCCTCCGTCGCAATGATCTCATCATTAATAAAACCAATATATTGTGTTCTCCTCTTCATTATATTAACTTCATTAATACACTGTGCAAATGCCACGCCAATAACACCAACGCCATCTTCAAACATAACATTATCATCAACACCAGAAGTAAACAATGACGCAACACCGTCAACTAAGATACCCATCACAGAATCTGCCACCGACCCAGAATATAGTAAAACCGGTGCACGTTGGCTTTTCGGTATCTCTTTCACAATGATGCAATTGAACGCAATCGGTTCGATTTACATCTTGTATCGCACATTTCGAAAATGGCGAGCTAATAACTATACACGAAATAGTCTATCCATGGCTCTCAGAGTCCCTTTTTATATCGCTATTTCGGATTTATGTCTGTATGTCGCGCATATATTCAACCAAGGATACACGGTGTTGAATGGTCGAACTTGGCCGGGGCTGTCGTGCAAAATTGTCGGTGGGACGGTGTTCTTCTTTGTGGCTGTTAATATGATTTTGGGTGAGTTCGGTAATTTTGTTTTTATGAATTTTGAAATTAATGACTAATTAAAAAAATTATAATTACTTATAGTGGGTGTCATAGCTCTATCTACTTATCTCAGAGGTAATTATTTTAGTATTCTTCATTCTTTAACCACCTACCGAAAAATAAATTGATTAAATAATATATATTTCATCATTTAGTTTGTCGTCGAATAATATTCGACTTTGGACCATTCGACCGTAATCTATTCGCCATTGTTCTCGGATTTCCATTAATATTGACACTGGGAAGCATCCCATCATTCGGTCCAAGCATTTATTGGTGTTATACAAACAAAACAAATCACATTGTCTCAATAATCACTCTAATTCTAAACTTTGCCGTAATCGCTCTCAACATCTTCTGCTACTATTTTACGCTACGCGAAATCAACATCACGGGTAAAGGATTCGTCAATGTTCGCATGAACAAAGAAAAAATCGGTAACAGCAACGGTAACAACAATAAAAGCAAAATCAACGCTGCAACCATCGAAAGAAAAGTCACGCAAAAAATCGCAGGCTATATTCTCATATTTACAATACAATGGACACCTGCAATGCCATATGTTATTGCGTCGGTGTTTACTTCACCGTCTGTGGGACTGTATCTTCTTTGCGATATCGCGATAAATCTCGGGGGTATAGGGAATGCGATACAGTATGTTCTTAATGAGGGATGGAGCCTGCAGATAGATGATGTCGTGTCGAAAACCAATGATAATTCGTCTTTTGCTACTTCGCCTTTGCCGAGTGCTCGATCACCGCACAGGTTCACTTTTAATCACGGTCAGGATACTACTATCACTAGCTTTGCTGCGATTCAAGACGATTGATTGTTACCTGTGGGATTTACCTGCTGTCCCTGAGTCAGCTGCTGCTAAACAATTAGCCAGTGAAATACACAATTTGATAATAAAAGGGGGGACGACGACGAAACAGTTAAAAAGCAGCAAGCCATCCATTATTTTATCCGTCTAAAGTAGCGGTCAGTGTAGTGTATTGCATATTGCATATGCACATGCACATGTAAAACATAGGGAAATACGTTGAGATCTATCATATTCTTATTATGGAAGGGAAAATTGTATTATTATTTATTTAAATATACATGTATTATTTATAGACTGAATATATTATCGTTATAAATATTGCTTAGCATTGCATTTGGCACTTATTATCATTGAATCCGAATATAATACTTATTCAAAAATGTGACCTTTAAAAACGACGACGCAATAAATTGCTTGAAATATCCTAACGCTAACGAATTCATTATTTTCCCGAATGAATGTCACAATGCAATTATGCAATGAATGTTCAAGTTAAAATTAAAATACAAATATACAAAAACAAAAAATTACAATTTATCGTTATTCATTTTTATCCTTTCCTCCGAGACTGGACAACAAAATTCTAATCGACAACAACGAGAGGAAAGTTGACCAAATAATAATGACGGCAGTTTTCCATGCGGCAGGTGCTGGCAAGTAAATTCGTTTCTGGGGTAGCACGCTAGCGCCGTGTGTATCCAAGTAGACGTATAAGACATAGAGTGGGAATGTTATCGTGTATGAGATGTGGAATAACAAGTCGCTGTATATATTTAAGCGGGTAAAGTTTATTTTATTAATTTTGACCGTCATGTTCTATAATAGAAAAAGGAAAAAATACTTACGCAGAAGCACTTTCGGGCTTAAATGTGTTCGACAAGTTACCAAATACATGTACAAGAGAAGCAGCAACCAAAAGTAATAATTGTTTAGGGTGATCGATTAATAAGGGTCTTGTTGGTTCATTGCTTCCACTGTCGTTTTCATTTCTCTCACTGATTAATGGGAGATGTTCACCAGATTCTTCTCTGACGTGCTTACGTGTGTTTAAATAGATACGCGTGTAGATAATGAATAGAGCAAAGTCGACAATAAGACCTGGATTTATTTATTTTAATGCAATTAGTACTTATCATTATCGTCATGCAATGATAATTAAATGGGCAGAAGAGTTTACCTTGAAATTTGAAAAATACTGCATCAAAAGGCCAATCCACGAATAAAATGATGGAATTAACACCAATAAAATAAATTCCAAGTCCAAGTACATAACGCGTCACACTCTTCATTTTCCCGCCTTGACTCAATAATGCCACAATCGCCACTTCCCACAAATTATGCCAGAGACCGAATGCTTCCCATAATTTCCCGATATCGAATGCTAAAAGAGCTAGTGCGGCAAGAGCCGTAAACAATGAATAGAATGCGAGTAACCGATTATAAGTGGTGGTTGGTACCGAAGTAGTGCCGTCACTGAAATACGATGCAATTTTTCGTGGAAGATTTGCAGCGTTATTTGTCCATTTGAACGCGTAGATTGCCGCAAATGTCTGTAGGACAAGAGAGAACGTGAATATCGAGTATCGTCTATTGTAGTCGAAGTCTGTTGGTCCATGCCATGTTGGTAGACCAGTACTATCTGATGGTGCTTGAGGGGGAACTTTTCCGGGTTTTGGAAAGGTGATTACTAATATCACTAACGCCAGTAACGATATAACGACCGCAAGGAAGCCGCCAAATGACATAGTTTCTTTTCTTTTTTGTTAATTGATGAATTTTTGACTCGCGTATGTATTGGAAATGATTTAGAAATGGTTTGGAGAGAAATTGAACAAGGAAGATAAAAAAAAGAATCGATAAATTCACATCAGTTTTATACGTATATTTTGTATGTGAGAATGGGAATAAAACAATCACTGCGTAATGTGGCTTAGCCTTCTTTCTTTGTGATAAACATTTCCATTGTCAATGGAAGCGGACCGTGATTGTAAATGACGGGATGAATAAATCAAGATTTTATAATTGATTCTGGTTACTATAAAAGTGCATCCAAGTTTTTGTACACGTATATATACGTAACGATAAATGAATGCATGTACAAAAAGAACATGGAACCAATAAGGTGCATGACTTCTAAAGTTATCAAACACATTTGTATTTTATAAAATGGATAAACTTTTTTACTAACGCTAAGCAGTAATACAAAATTTAATCCGTGAATATCAATATCGATATGTTCAAAAAAGGGACTATTCTATCATATTCACGGATTAAATTTTATATTTAGTAAAGATGGTTATCCATTTTGTTCTGTTCCATAGGAATATTTCACAATAGGTTACATTCACATAATTGACGTTAAAATTTTTCATATTACCGATACGTACGCAAAAAAATAAATATCGATGCTTTTAATGAGATTATTTTGAATATACATGTATTTGTTTGTTGAAAATATTCTAATTGAGTTATAATCGTTACCTTTATCGTTATACAATAAAGAACTTCCTTTAAACTAACTAATAAATCTATTTATAAAGACAAATATTTCAAACAACAAAAAATTTATTTATTATCATCACCAGACGATGACGATAACGATAACGATAACGAAATTCTAATCGACAACAATGAGAAGAAAGACGACCAAATAATGATTACGGCAGTTTCCATGTGGCAGGTTTCGGTAATAAATTCGTTTCTGGGATAACACACTAGCGCCGTGTATCCAAGTAGATGTATAAGACATAAAGTGGGAATGTTATCGTGTATGAGATGTTGAATATTAAATTGCTGTATTGTTACCGCTGGCGAACAAATTTCCTCGATTACGTTTTTTTTTTTTGAGAATCGGACCAATGTATGTTTAATGTTGTTGAATTCCAAATCAGTAGTTTACAATAACGTTGCAGCAAGTTCCCATCACGATTGTCCACAATGCTGCAGATTCCCAAAACTGGCAAAGTCTTTAGCAGCTAATTTCCATCAACAACACTGCGTCACGAATATCAACAAATGCGATCTATAGGTTTTACAGCATGACGACATGCTGATAAAAACAACAAGCTTCCCCTTTTAGTATACAATATGGAATTGCGCCATTTCCCGCGTTGTTTTACAGCGTCTCCTCATCGTTTTCAGTATCTCCTCATCATTTTCAGCATCTCCTCATTGTTTTTCAGCATCTCCTCATCATTCAGCGTTTCTGCATCAGTTTTCAGCATCTCTTTATCAATCTTCGGCATGGTTCCGTTAATTTTCGATTTTGTAACAGTTTCTTCTATATAGATGATAGAGCGTCCGTTGTAAACTCTTTTTTTTTTTATTTTATCTTTAGTAAAACGTTATGCTTTCTCTTCGTTGTTAGTACAAAAATAATAACACACAAAAAAAATGTATAAAAGAATGGCCCACGGGCTACTAATAAAAATACAGAATTAAAATTGCGAACAATAATTCTCCAAGTAAGCTACTTGTAAAAAGAGAATTCACATTGCGTACAATTGTTCTCCAAGCAAAATTAAACTTGAATTATAGCGTGCAATTATTCCCCCCCCCAAAAGTAAAATATTGCTTGTAAAACTCTTCTCCCTTTCCCCACATTAATCGTGATATCGTATTACTTGTTGGTTAGGCCCTTTGCCCCAGAAAAGGCATTGTTTAGTGTAGAATCGCATTGTCGATGAAAAACCGTTTTTGTGATCATTATTATCGTTATTATTATTTTTAAGAGTTTAAGGATTTTATCTATAAAAAGCAATAGTAAAAGAATCCCCAAACAGTCAACTGAAACGCGTGGTCTCTCTTCTCCGCCCCAAAATTATTATAATTAACGATATCCGTAGATATTGGCACAGACTCTAGATACCGAATAAACGTCACTCAGTCTAATAATCTCTCCCAAAGACTTGTTGCGGTTAAAATCACCTAATTCGCCAAAACAAAACGGAATCGCAACAGTATTTAGAAAATTTTATCAATGATTTATTATATCGTCATTTCTAGGATAGAAATAGAATAAATAAATACTTACTAAGTAAAATCTTCAGGATTAAGTGTGCTAATAAAGTTACCAAAAGTAACAATCGTTGAGGATGATTTATCAATATGGATTTCGATCCTTCTTCATTGCTCCCACCGTCTCCCTCACTGACTAATGGGAGATGTTCCCCAGCTTCTTCTCTGATGTGTTTATGTGTGTTCAAATAGACACGCATGTAGACAATGAATTGTGTATAATCCGAAATAAGACCTGGATTTATTTATTTTTAATAAAACGATGGAATCAACACCAATAAGATAAGTTCCAAGTCCAAGTATATAACGCGTTACATTCGTCACTTTTCCGCCTTGATTCAACAACGTCAAGATCGCCACTTCACACAAATTATGGAAGAGACCGAATGTTTCCCATAATTTCCCGATATCGAATGCTAAAAGAGCTAGTGTGGCCAGAGCCGTAAACAATGAAAGAATGCGAGTAACCGGTTATAAGTGGTGGTTGAGGTCAAAGTAGTGCCGTCACTGAAATACGATGCAATTTTTCGTGGAAGATTTGTAGTGTTGTTTGTCCATTGAACGCGTATATTGTCGCAAATGGTAGCAGGAGAAAAGCGAACGTGGCCATCGAGTGTTTTTTGATCGATGTCTGTTGATGTATGCCATATTGGTAGACCAGTTCTATATGATGGTGCTTGAGGGGGAACTTTTCCGAGTTTTGGAAAGGTGATCACTAATACACCTAACGCCAGTAAGGATATAGCAACCGCAAGAAATCCGCCAGTTGACATATTTTCTTCGTTAATTGGTTAACTTTTACTTGTGTGTATATAAAAAATGATTTGGAACGAATTGAACAAGGAGAACAAACAAAAAAGAATCAACGAATTCCCCATCAGTTTTATACGTATTATTTTGGATGAAAGAGAGTATATTATAGTAGTTTCTTTCGATAAAGATTTCATCATAAAATTCTAAAGAAACAAAATCGCAATATTAATTTAATGCGTATATCGATATCGAACAAAGTTTAATTCGCTTATCTAACAGTTTCACGTATTGCAAAAAAAGCTTTGCCACGTGCAAAAACTTTACGGTTTTTAATAGAAAAAGGTATATAGCAGCATTCTTTCATTTCTTTCATTGTAAAGTATTTTTTTGCCATAATTCTGCTTTTGTTTATATAATTTCTATAATTGATTCAGATTGTCATAAGTTCTTTACCAGTAAATTATAAATACATTCTTGTTTTGTGTATGTGTACATACGTATTTGTTTAGCCATAACAATCAGAGAATACACTTTAGTAATACGTACGTACCGAGTTTTTTTTTTGAAATACAGTATTCCAGAAAATATCGATATGGCGTAAATATGCTTAGTGTAATTGTAATAGCGATAGGTACATTACTCCTAACCTTAACTCGTACCACCCGGTACAAATAAGTATAGCCGCGATAGAACAGTACGTAATAGAAACTACATGTACAAGTACTGTTCTATTATTGGAGGGTTGGGTAGGTTATCGTTATTTTAAAGATTTATCCAAATACATGTACGTACTGAGTTTATCGTTATGTTATTTAGAATATCAGTATAGTACGTAATGGAAAAACGTGACAAATCGTAGGATTATAACATACCGATACCGATAAACTGCTCTGGTACATATCTTCTCTTTGATTACTAACCGCTGTAGATGATATTAACGACTCGGTATTTTATTGGGAAAGCATTATTTTAAAGTTGGAATTGGATCTAATTAATCTGTGAAAACAAGCGTTTAAGATATTATGGTAAAAACAAGTATATTTATAAATTGGGTTGCTCCGAATTGTTGTCTAGCGTGATTGAAATATAATATTCAGTAGAATAAGACATCTTTTTAAGATAAATATGTGAAAGATTAAAAGGAAGAGTTGAAAAAGAGAAATCTGACAAAGAAGGCAAATGAAAAAAGCTTATAGTGTAAAAATATTAATATGATATTTTGAGAAAACTGACCTATCAATCAAGTATCCACTACCCTATCTAAATTTGTTTCGAGATTATGCTGTCTTATAACTCTTATTACCTATGACTTAGGTCATAATTCAACATTGAATGGTTATATTCATGTACATATAGCAATACCGATACCACTTTTTTCTGGAAATGATCCAAGTGATCTATAATACAGTGATAAATGATATTGATAATAGAACTTGAAGAGGGATATGTATTTGAACAGCCCATGTGAGTATATTTTCCCAAATAAATTACGTTAACATCATATTACTCTAGCTATAGACACTGAAACAACAATTATAGAATTCTTCATGTCTACATCAACTTTCAGGTTATAGCCTGTTTTATATAGGTTTATGCTATTTTACTATTTTTATTTATACATGTGCTTAACTTGATTCGTTTAATAAGCTCAAATATTTTGTTACTATTGTTACGAGCTCATGCTTATCTATCAAGTGTTTCAAATTTCTCTTATATATCTCGAGCATTCTGGATTTTGTTTTAAAATTCATCATGCTCTTGTAGCTCTTGATTTATTTATTGAAATTTGAATGTTATAATATTTTATAATGAAATTCAAATTTGATGTGACTAGGGTGCTCTACCTTTATTTAATCACACACTCGAAAATACAAAAAGTGTAATTTTAAAGAGTTTATAATTATATAGAGGTCGTATAAAACAGAATAATTCGAATTAATAAAAAATATTTGAGCATATTTTTATTCAATTTTTTATTATTATTTTAATTACGTCAGCCTTGGTGGATTTTGAAACTCTGCTTAGTTACATTACTTTTTGACATTAAATTAGACTAATGAAAATATCCTTCTTTGATACATATATGAAAAGGTGAGAAACACAGTCAACCTCATTAAATCTTAGTGTAAAAATTTAAAATTCGGTTTATTGAGATTTATTTAGTATCGAGATAGAATTACCATAACTGATCCTAAACCAATTTATATTTATCAAGGTGCAAAATTTGGTTTATGCAATTTTAATTAGTACTTCAGTCTAATATATATCAATTCGTAACATTTTATAAGAAATTCATATTTGATCTTTTCATTTTTCACTCTATAGATTTATAAAATACAATTTATTGAATATAAGTAACTCATTTGCTAAGAAGTAAATACAAAATTTAATCCATGAATATCAAGAAATACTTATTCTATCATATTCATGAATTTAATTTTTTATTTATTTCTTAGTAAAGAAGATTATAGAATTTATAAAATGCAATCTGTTAATGAGTTTAGATATTATGCACCATAATTTTATTAATCCAAAAATTGTGTACTTAGAAAAATTATATTAAATTAATGAAACAAAATTTGATTTGAAGATTTTTTATGTGAAATAAAGTTACATTTTGCTTTATTCCAAAAATACTATTCATTTAAGAAGAATTATCAATTAATTGATAATTCACAAATAAATGAAAATATATTCAAAATTTTTCTTTTTGATGTAAATTTTTAAATTTAAGATTTTTATTTCACTAAATTAATATAATTTTATAAGTATAAAATATATAATTGATTTTTAAATAATAGCAATAGTCAAATTCTAAAATATTTTGAAATTTTTATACTTATATAGTAAAATCTTTTGATTTTTAATTAAATTTTTATTGAGATTTATTTAATTAATATAATTTTCATATATATAAAAATATATAATTGATAATAATTAGTCAAATTTATAATAATATATAAGCAATTTTTTTATTAATTAAATTTTTATTTGTCTATTTAATAATTCAAATAAGAATAAATGTGCTTTATATTTAAGCTAAAATTTCTGATTTGAACTTACTAAACCAGCAAATATAACTAAAAAATTTATAAAATATTATTTTAAAAAATGTTAAATTAAAATTATATTAATATAAAATTATAGATATTTATAATTCTGGAATAATTATATACAAAATTGTAATAAATAAATAATTATTTCAGAATATTTTTAAATATATAGAGATTAATTTGTATTTAAAAAATACTTAATAATAAAATAGAAATTAAAAAATTTTTATTATATGAACAAAAAAATATATTTAAATGTAACTATAAAAAAACTATTTTTATCTTTATTAATTAGAATTAAAATTAATTTTGAAATAAATATTTAATTATATTTGAGCAAATTTTTTGTTTGTAAAATTTTTTTGTAATTTTATCTTATCAAGTTTTTTATTTTTGCATTTTCATTTAAAATATTTAATAATTTCTTTATTTATTTTAAAATATTTTATCTTTATAAAAAAGTATATTATTGTAAATTTTTATATATTTTTATATGCAAGTTTTAATTAATTTAAAATAAATTATAAAATTTTTATAATTAATATTTTATAAAATAATTTTTAATTTATTAAAAATTTATTAAATAAAATTAAAAAATAATTTAAAGTAAGTTTTGCATTATTTAAATCTCTAAGATATTAAATAAAGTTATTCATTTAATTTTTGTGGTTTTAATAATGATAAAAAGTAAGAATATTAATAATTTAATTATAATAGTTTCTTAAAGTTTGTTTAATATATATTATTTAATTTACAAAGTGTAATTATATTAATTAAAATTCAAAAAATATTGTGATTGTTCTATTAAGTTATTTTTTATGTTTTTATAATTATTAAAATTACAAAACTTAAATAAATAACTTTAATTAATATTATATAAAAATATTATATAATATAAAAATACTTTTTGATTTATTTTTAGAATTAATAAATAGATTATTGAATATATTAAACTTGAATTATATTCAAATATATATTCAAATATATATTCAATATTTACATTCAATTCAATAATATTAAAAATAGATAAATATATATCCAGTATTAATACAGTTTCTAAACATATTCATGGATTAAATTTTGTATTAACTTCTTAGTAAAAAAGTTTATTCATTTTATAAAAATAAATATTTAATAATTTTAAATATTATATATTACTGTGAATAAAAATTCAATAAATATATACTTATACAAATTCTTCTTATTCAGAATCAAATCTTGACTTCTTTAGGTAATTTGAACAATTATAGATTGGTACAACTTCTAGAATTATTACAAAAAAAATTTATTAAAAAAGAAGAAATTTATATATTTATAATAATATAAATAGTAAGTAATCTTTAGAAATATACTAATAGATAGATTACTCTTTACTTGAAATACTTCAAATTTAAAAGAGACAACAAATAAAGCATTTATATATCATGCAAAAATTATTATAGATACATTTTCAATATTGAAAACAATATACATGTATACACATATACAGTATTATCATGAATATGGATACAAACAGACTGGTTTTGTAATGAAAACCAAAAATTTTATTTGTGTGATCTTATAAATTAATTCAAACTTTTTAAAGCTTAAAGAATATAATTCTTAAATTTTAACAGTTTTTGATGCATCTTGTTTAAAACCAACTAAAGAAATTATTTATGGTGCACACTGTATTTTTAAATATTATATTATTAGATAATAACAATATCTATACAGGGATACAGTCGAACTTATACAAGTGAA